AGTAGTTGCAAGGTATTTTATTATTGTGCCTTGTTCCTAATAAACGTGTGTTTTATATTTTTTTGTCTACTGTCGTCTTGAGCTGAGTTTCATTGGCAAAATTCTTATGCCGCTACTAACCAACGAAAGTAATTAGTGTTAGCTTATTCCTTTATTTTATGTAGTAATTTAATTTTATGGGAGTTTACATAGATTTAAGAAGTTTTTGGTCTTTCGAAGTTATTGTCGTATTTTTATTATTAATTTTTGTTTTTGTGGCTTGTAAATCTAGGTGTGAYTTTGTGTCCTGAAAAGTGTATCACTAGCTTGAAATTCAACGTCTTTGTTTTATTTTTCTTTTCTGTTGTCAACTTCCTGCGTAAATCTAGTCTCTATGGTAAGGTAAAGCATTCCTTGATAATCATTTAATTTATTTWGATATTCATGTTAGTTTCTGAATTTAATGTCAGTATTTTCATTTAGGCCATGGAAAACTTCGTACAGGATTTGTCCGGAAAGTAACAGGACTATGTCGATTTAAAAAACCGATCGTTACAACCTTTTTAAATAGTGTCCTTCTGTGTCGATGCAGCCAGCTCGATTTCCAAACATTGAAGGCGTCACGGAAGTCATTCTCCGGAGTAGCCTTGAGAGCCGAGGTGCATGCAGCTTGAATCCCCTCTGCTGTCTCAAAACTCAGAAGATTGCCTCTTAGTCTCAGCATCGTACTCAAAGTACCTTTACTTGTCGCCTGTGATAACGTTATTCAAAAATTGGGGGTCACTTCTAAACCTATTCAAATTTTCTGGGCATACTTCTACTCGCCGCAATTACTGGTCATCAGTGAGCACTTTTGGGACCATCTTCACACTCACTTTCGCATATTCAAGTCACATTGTCATAAGCCACAGATTTTGATAAATTTAACATCTGAGCAATTAAACGAATACTTATTCGACGGTCTGAGTTCAAAACTTTGCGCACTCTAGTCACATTGACGGTGTTTTTCGAAGTCACAGGTCTCTCAGCACGGTCTTCATCAGTGACCTCTTCCCGGCCCTCCAAAAAAAAGCCTGGTACCACCGAAACACACCACTTCTCGCTAAAGCAACATCTGGGTAAGCCTGCTTGAGTATGTCACAGAAACACGTCGGTGAAAATGCTTGTCCGGAAGAAAATCTGTCCTATTACTTCCGGACAAATCCTGTACAGTGTTACTTTTCTATGAAGATGTTGCTCATAAATTCCGAACCTTGGTCACACTCCTTTGTTTAAGTACGCTTTTGTTAAGTATGGTTATTGGTCAAGAGATCAGCTATTCATTCGTTAGCTCTATTAGTTTGATTTTCTTTTTTTATATATATGTACATATGTACCGGTAAAGAAATACTTGTTTGGAAAAATTTATTCAAATTTTCTTATATTTCGTTTAAAGTTTTAAGTTATAAGTTCTACAAATTTTGCGGATATTTTTTTCTATTACAGACTTTCACATTACTGTTTTAAATGTTTTGGAATAATTTTTACACTGATATGATATGATATGATATGCCAGTGATCCTTGCGGATTAAAATTTAAAAGCACAATTGGTACTAAATATATTTCAGGCTATTGACTCCACTTCTTTTGTTGTAATTTCTTATTTTATATTTTTTCTAATTACCTTGCATAGCCCATATATTGGGGGTAGGTATAAATATTTCACAAGATTGGTTTTAATCTTTGCAAATATTTTTAATTTCAATTCAAATTTTCCTTTCATTTATTTTCTTCTTTTTTATTTTATATATGCTTTATGTTAGAATTTATGAATTTTTGATATGTCAATTTTGTGTTTTTCATTTTCTAGCGTCTCACAAAAATTTAATTTTGGGCACTTTTATTGTACGGTTTATCACTTTAAGCAAGAACGTTCAATACTCACAGTTGCCAGCACCAATAGTACACTTGTATCAGTCATTCTTCCAGAATCTTCGTTTGGTTTATTATACATATATATTTTGGCCTGAGGAGTGAGTTATCTAAATGAAAATCAGAGAGCGTTTTATTTAATACGATGGTCTTACGATCTTWGTGCCTAAAATGCATGAAATCGTTTGAAAACTGGCCCTAGACCCCAAATAACTTACAGAGTACTATATATGTACCTSAAGGGATATCYCTGGTGTTGATGCTGACAATTCATYCAAAAATTATTCAATGCTTTCAATTTCTTCATCAAGTTCGAAGTTGTTGTAGTCAGATTGAGAACAGCACTACAAAACCAAATAACCTTATAATAAAGAAAAAATAGAATAAAACAAATTAGGAAATATTCATCAAATATTTACGATTCTCCCACCTTTTCATATTCAAGTGTGCACTTAGGAAATTTGAATGTCGATAAACCAGACAACCAAAGTGTACACAAATTGTTTTCCTATTATTTATGTTTTTCGAAACAGCAATACAAATATGTTCCATATATATATATTTCATGGGTTTTTTATTTGATCAGCATGACAAGCTGTCCGTATGTCTGTAAATACATGTTTTAGTTCCTCAATTTTAGAGATATCGTACGTTCTTCTCTCCCCAAAAATTTGATCATTTATCGAAACCGCTGATATCGGACTACTATAGCATATAGCTGCCGTRCAAATCAGAAAAAAAAATTCYATACCTACATAAAAAATGCTCCTGTGAAGGGTATTATTGCTTCAGTACCACCGAAGTTAACGTAAATTCGTATCAATATTATGTGTTACTCTAGAGCTTTTTTATGCCTCAGCATTGTAAATAATTTTTTTTTATGATAATGTTATTGTTAGTTATGGCTCAAATGCCAGAAAATTAGTGAACGATGATATTCAGTTAAATTATCAGTATATATGTATATCTTATTTTTACATAGCATAATTTTTAAAATATTTTTTAATTTTTGTTGCTAAATGATTTTATGAGCTATGTGATAATACTTTAGTGAAGAATGATAATACATGTACAAATGTATGCACGGTACTGCAGTGCCGACGGCTCTTACATAGTAAGCTTAAAGTATGTAAATGTATGCTAAGTTGAATGTAATTATTACATAAAGCTGTTATGTTCTATGAATAAAAAAAAAGGTATTAAAGAGGGTATTGTAAGGGTAAAGGAGTCAGTAACTGGAAATATCTCACTTTAAACTTCATCCGTAATGTCAAAGGTTCCATAACCAAAAATACTAAGCTCCGATCTGTGAACTATTATTAACTCATCTTAGCTATGCTCATAATAATGGGATATTACAACAACTACATAGTTGCTATGGCGGTGGTCGATGATTTCAAAATCTCAATCATATCAGTTTGAGCACCATTTACCAAAGTTTATTTTACTGAAATAACTGTACCTGTGCTTGTACTTAGRTCAAATGAAGGATGAAAAATGGGGTAAAAAACTTGTGCTATGGAGGGATTTACTTTAAAATGTTTGATAATTTTCGTTTTASAATAAAATCTATATGGAATACAAGTTGGAATTAGAATGCACTCTTGGCTGATTTCTTTCTAGGTTTCCAGTGCTGAATCGATATTTGGGTCTGCAGCCTTTTCATCCAGTCTTTAAATAYAAGTATGTGTTGGTTAGTGCTGCAGTATGACACTAACAAAGTCATCAGCTGACAATCTGAATTAGGAACCACCCATWGGTAGGTATTTCCAAGCTTCCGTTACATCACTATGTACATATATTTYAAGATTTCCTGCTAAATGTATATCAATTCGCTCGAAACTGTATGTAGGTTGAATAAGAATATACATACATACGTATGTATTTATACATATGTATGTGTATACGTAGGGCACGAAAAATGTGGCATTCCAAATACACGAAACTTTATTCGGCGCATATATAATATCTTAAAACTAACTGGTGTATAAATCCACCGAAAATCGCAGTGGCAAATTGAGTCTGCGATTTTTAAAGGCGAGAGTCGTCGCTGTTTTGCCGCCGCTATTCCACCATGCGTGTGTGGGAGCGCGATAGCAACATTAGCTTTAGAAAGGAATGGCGCTATCAAAACAAATCAAATCACAAATCATGTGCACATGTTGACACCGTATTTAACGCAGCAACAAAGTTAGTACAACACTACATCCGCGCAACCAAATACATCTACCGTATGCGTGTGTGCAGAAGTAACACAAACGAAGCTAAAGTAAATGCAGTGAAAAACATGGCAGTGGCACCAACAAACAATGCAACAAAGTAATGAAGCCCTTCAGTCGTCGTCGTTGTTTGGCCATAGYCGTCGCAGGCGTTGTGGTTCCAGAGCACACCAGTGGCGCTCATCGTCACCGGCATGTTTGTCGGGCCAACAATTGTGCCGTGGAATTGAGTGAGTGAGCGAGTATGAGAAAGAGCGAAGTTAGTCGTGCACATATACCGGCACACATCCGCATSGCTTGGGATGTTCATGCAACAAACAACAATTTCTCAAATGTAAAGATGGCTGCCGTAATGGCTGAATTGTAAAAATGGAAAAAGAAATGCTACTGAAGTAGGTATGTAAGTATGTGAGGTTGTACGTCTAACTCCAAGCATTTGAGTAGTACGACAAAGCGGAATAAGCAGCAAAAGCATATATTGGTTTCTTGTGTTGGTGGGGGCAATAGTAATGGCGGTAGTGTAACGGTGGTGGTTATTAAGAAAGCGAGCGCCGGCAGTGGCATGCAATTGGTTCATGTGGATGCGCTTCCGTTCTCACGATTAGAAAGGAAGTGCGCGCTCTTCTCAGTCAGCCATTAAAACAGCTGATTTGTTGGAGAGCACCTACTCGCGCCCATCATGCATGCATGTGTGAAGAAGTGTTTAATTAAATGGAGAGTGAGCATACATTCGACACTCYGAGGTTCAGAGAGGCTACGTATTCAGCGCAACTATTCCAAATCAYCCAAATGTGTCTTGTCTCAGCTGTTTTCGTCAGCTGCGCGCTGCCAAAAGCCAACGACAAAACCATCTATTCCGCAGGCCGTATYGCATTGGGGCCACAGTCGGTTAAGAGAGCTCGTTCGCAAAAGTCACATTTGTTGTTAATTGGAGTGAACGCGTCGCGACGTTTGAAGAGCTCAGCAAAGTATCAAAATATTTAAAAAACATTACAAAGCCAAAAACTAGAACTTAATGTACGATATCTTTCTATAATTAATTTGGATTATAAGCGAAAACGACTTGCAATAGTTAAGGAACAAGAATAATAACAAATTGTGATAAAACATGCAAAGGGTGTAATTCTGAAGTGAAACTTTGAAGACTTAACACCAAAGTGGTACAGAAAAGATTTTCGTACGCTCACACTCGTAGAAGATTGTCGTGGCCTACGAAAAGCAACAGCAAATTCTGACCTCAATACGTTTGTAAGGCCAGACAAAAAGGGCGTTGTGACTCTATACCGCTGCTACTTACTTGTTAACGTTATGCACTTACAGAGTTGAAACGTCGAAGTCAGTGAGAACGTGAACGGCGTAACAATCGTTGCAACTGTTTCTTTGATCGTGTGCGCTAAGAGTCAGTTGTATTGTCGCGCGGTGTGTCATTTAAACGGTACGTCAGTTCGCCCGTCTGTCGGTGGTATATTAATCGTCTATTACGAACTGTGCATGTCTGAAAGAGATAACAAGTCTGTATAACCGTCTTTGAGTGCGTTCTGAACAAACAAAAACAAACACTAAAGCGAAGGACTAAGTAGGTATACGAACATACCATCTCTGCGGGTCGTTTGTTGTTGGACTCTTAAAAAACCGTAATAAAAAGATTGTAAAGGGAATCGATTTTCTGCAGCAGTGCCAACAATAAAATCAGCTGTCGTGGCACTCAGAACCTACCCAAGTGCAGACGCGCGAAACTGAGTGAAACGCCAAACCACTCAAAGTGAGCGCTCATACGCTGAATAGTAACCACTAACAGTAAGCAAGGAGAACGGAGTGGGAAGAGCCACATACACAGCCGATTCCCGTATTTGCCGCAGTCGACTTCAACTTTACTGCCACAGAATTCAGAGCTCAGAGACGACGCCGAAGAAGAATACTGAACCATAAACTACCAGATAGTAAACGAGAGCAGACATTAAGAATTTTTTTCACAACACTTATTATTGGTCATAGTAAATAGACGGTCGGTAAAGCGGTGAATAAAGGAAAAACATTAGCGTCTCCGTCACGTAAAGCAAATCTAATTAATTCAACATTACAGCTCATTGCAGTTGCAACTAAACCAACACACACACAGACGCAAAGATAATTAAATTAAGGCTGATTAATTTTTTTGTAAGAAAAAAGACAATTACAAAAGCAAAGTGTATTTTTAGTTCTTCGTGAGTAAAGACTGATAAAAAGTAACGACAAGGATTATTCCAAAAATACAACAATACAAAAAATCAATAATATAATAATTAATAATAAGAAGAACGCGAAGCCAATGCAATTAAAGCAACAAAACCACATTCGCAATTACGGGTTGACTAAATACGTTAAAAATTAAATAACTAGTTCATGTGAAATAAATATATGTAGAATAAATTACATAGAATACGCCTAAAATACCAGTAATTAAGAAAAAAAGTAAATATATATTTCTACCTACATACTTGCTAAATAAAACACAAGGAAATGATATAACAAAGTAAACAACAGCAACATATGGATTAACGTTCCTGATATAATTAACAAGAAWCACCCCATCCACACAAAAGGATCTGCGCATACCTGCACATCTAGCGGAGTAATATCAACTGTATATATAGAGCTGGTGTCAGCTTTGCATTCCATTAACAAGCATAGTTTCACTACAAGAAAAGCTCCAAAAGCAACCGCGAATCGTAGAATATATTGAATGTTGATTGCCATACCGTTTAGATATTACTTGATAGCATCAGCAACCTTTTGGATAACCGTCGCTAGTGTCAGTTGTGTATTGTTTGAGTTTCGAAATTACATTAAATTATTATCGTCATTTGAAACACCAGTGCCTGAAGATAACAAGTGCAAGAAAATAATTGAATTGAATGATTCAAAATATAGCAAGAATCAAAAGCAAAAATTCTGTGCTCGAAATACATTTCGTAAATATTTCGCAACTCCTTACGCTTTACTATAAAAGAAATAACCCAAACAAGGAAATTAGTGCCAACAAAAACAAAAGCAAAAGCAAGCTAAGCAGCAATAAAGTTAGATTGTGTTTGTTAAAATTGAGTCCTTCCATGTGAATTCACCCGCAATATTGTGAAGAGAGCTTATGATATAAAATAAAAGAAATTGCGGGGTAGTGTTTATAACGAATTCCATGTGAATAAAAAGAAGTGGGAAACTTGTGTGTGAAAGCCAGTCTTTAAGATCGCAAAAATTATTAACGAAACTATTGCCAAAATGACGATGGCTGCGTGCTACGCCAATTATGAAATGTCTTTACCACACAGCATGTCCACAGCGGCGTTGCTAAGTGCTCAACATCATCACCATACTCAGCTCAATCACAGCCATAGTCACCACCAACAACAACAGCAGTCGCAGCAAACACATCATCAGCAACAACAGCAAATTTACCACCACACGCAGCAACAACATCAGCACCACCAGCAGCAACATCACTCGCAATCATCCAATGGTGTGACAACGTCGTCGTCGTCCACATCCATGGCGGCGGCGACGCCGGCTGGCCGAGGTGGTAATGCCTCGACAGTCACCCCCGCCGTCGCCGCCACCAACTCAGTTATAAGCAGCACCAAYATTGGCAGTGCCAACATCACCAACAGTCGCAGTAACAGCAACAGCAGTACCAACATTAGTAATGGTGCAACGTTGTCGGCTGGTACAACGGTGGCGATCATCAGCTCCGGCGGCACTGCGACACCACAGAAAGATTATTCCATTCCATTGCATGTAGACTGCAGCGTAGAGTACGAATTACCAAATCAACCCAAACCACCGGTAGGCCAACGAGTAGAGCCATTGCTGATGATCCATCCCTGTTACTTTCGTAAAATGGAATCGCAACGGCGCAGTCCTTTTGTTAACAATATGCCGGCGTCAGCGCGCAACACTGCGTTGTTGGTGAGTGGCTTAAGTAGCTCCTCAACGTCGACGGCCACGAGTGGGGCGGCGTCATCGGCGGCGAGTACGTCTGGTGCAACTGCGACCGGCTCATCAGCGCGTCGTGCAGCTGCGCGTCAATCTCAGGTTATACAGCAACAGCAGCAGCTCCAGACACAGCAACACTTGCAGCAGCATCAAGTAGTTGCTCAATACCAACAACAGCTGCAGCAGCAACAATTGCGACAGTCAACTCAACAACAGCAGCAGTCACAGTTACAACAGGAGCAGCAGCAGCAGCAGCTCCAACAGCARCAGATGTCGCAAATGTCCCAACAAGCGCATTATCCAGTGGTAGTGGCGCATCACCATTTGAGCCACCATCAACAACAAACGCAGCAACAAAAAGTGGTGCAACAACAAGCTAGCATTGCCTCATCTGCTCCACCATCCTCTTCTGCCTCAACAGCGGTGTATATTGAGCACGCCAGTGCAGTGAGGAGAGCAGCAGCCGCGGCTGCTGTGCATCACCGTAGTAACCAAAGCCGTGCCGCAAGCGCTGTTGCTAGCAATGCCAGCCAAGTGCATCAGCAACAGCAACTGCAGCGTCCAAGCCAAAGCACAACTGCTTCGATTGCGGCCGTCGCCGCCGCCGCCGCAGCAGCCGCCGTTACCTCTCAAAGCCAGCAGAATATTCTAAGCCAGAATGCCTCACAATGGGACCAGTTGGCAGCGATAGCCGCTCGCTCTTCGATGACACCAGCCGCGGCTGCGGCTGCTGTCCACTCCAGCCAAATGTTGGCACCACGCAGCACGCCCACCTTATTCGGCAAAAGTCTGTCCGCAGTAGGCAAACGAGATGCCATGATTTCCGGCGGCGTATACGGTGGCAGTGCTGCGACGGCAGCTAGCAGCGTAGCCACGCTTCACAACGGAAAGCAACAACAGCAGCAAATGCATTGTTTGCCCACTGGGGCGATGTGGGCCGATCCCAGCAGCGTGGCGTCAGCCTCAGCGGCCACCTCGTCCACAGCGTCGGCGCTGATGGTCGATCGCAGCCCAATGGCAACAGTTCCTAGCAACTATCAGGCTGGGCCTGATACCACCCCGACGATAAGTACACACTACACACGTGATGAAAAGCTGAGCGGCAAATACCGGCAGTACTTACGATCGCAGCGCATGCATCCTTACTTGTCCGCGACAACAACGAATGTGGCAGCCGTCGCTGCAGCAGCTAATCTCGGCCAAACATTTCCACAGTTCGCGGCCACGCCATCGTTCCAGCATCTACAGCAGATTTCCTGCTACAATGTATGATCGACTTGAACCACTGACACAACAGTTGCGGCAACAGCAGCCTCAGTAGCAAAACAGCAGTAGTGAAAACTGTAAGTGTTCCACCAAGTGATTAAGTGCAGTGCAGCTAGCAAATTGCTTCTTGTGAACGCTGTAAGGTTGAGCGCGTGTGCGCCGTTCTACACCGGGTCTTTGGTCGACATTAGACAGTTGAAATGAACAAGTCACATAGCTTTCGGAGTTAGCCGATACCACGCAACGCGTTTAATGGAGTAGTGGTAGTATAAATGGTAAAATTATTTGTTAAACAAACTTATGGATTACTTTCAAATGCCAGATAGCGCATTTCGTAACATAAAAAGGCAAAAAAGCTAACCAAAATTACATAAATAAAAATTATAAGAGAAAAATTAATGTTAAGCGATAGCTGCTAAATTGTTATATTGATAAAGAACCCATTAGAAAATGTTTGGAAATAAGACTATACTATTAGAAAATGCAACAAATTGCCGATATTTATGTACCGTAACGCTACACCATCGACGAATCGAACAGTTACATGCTTAACGAACATACTTAAATGCTTCAACGTTATTGTTAAACGCTTGCAATAAAAGCTATAGGGTAGAAAGCATTTGTAGGTGTGTAAGCCCAGGCGGTCCTATTGTACCGAAGCAATGTTTCGCCGACGGCTCGTGCATCTATTTAGGATACTAGCACATGTCGACCGTATTGGCAGCTGAGAATGCCGTCGGCATTTTAAATTTAGCCGACGCRTGTTATTTGTATGCATTGTATGTATTRTATGTGTGTGCGCCTCTGATTATTTAATGCAGACGCTTTCAAGACCTGTTCCATGTTACTTGCTTGCGTGCTTTGGCGGTGCAACCTGAAATAACTTAAATATGCAGTAAAGCCCACCAAGCTTATGGGCCTTCCGCGGCGAAGAGAAATAAAATCGAATTTGTGTGTACTTGCCGAAGTGAATTGCTTAACGTTMCAGACGCCCGTTTTCCGTAAAAGTGTAAGGCACACACACACACACACGTACATGGAAAAGCGTATCTGCATGACCGTCAGTACTTAATTTGTATTAATGCTTTACTTTTTCTCTCCTCCTTTTTTTAAATAAAATTTTAAGTTTGTACTGCTTTATTCACTGTAAATATGTATGTGTACTTGTTGTTGTCCAAATCTCATTTGTTGTTTGTAGTTCATGAGTTCGTTCGAAAGCGCGTTTATCAGCAGAAACGAATGACCTTCAGAGCTTTCGTTTCATCAGCACTTTCTTGAATTCCTTAATTGATGTGATATTTAATTTAATACACACGCTTGTGAAATTCCCAAATTAACAGCGCTATAAAATATATTAGTGTAGTAGTAATTTAATTGAAAAGAGATTAAATAAAAATAATTCATATTCAAAAGTTATATTATGAATGGAAATGTGTTTTGTTTTATAATTGTTTTTGGTTTCATATATATAGAAACATACATAGATTGGTAGATCCGCGGGTGTTTTTGTGTGCGCTTAATTTTTCAAACATGACGCGTTCGGCGGATCGCCTTTCTGTCCGCCGGCCTCCTGTCGTCTTACGTTGTCCAAATGACCAGTCGCAGTTGGGTTGTTGTTGTCGCTTGGCCGATTTGTCTGTCGCTGGCGTATTATGATTACTTTATTTATTTTGTCTATTCATTATGCGCCTTATTTCAATGAGACTGCCCGCATTTGGGTCAGCCCCACAGAAATTATAAATTTAAATTAAATATACAAATTATACTCGCACACAAATTTCGGTTTTATGACTTGACAACGCACCACGCACATACATATGTATGTAGGTATRCACATTTAGCGTACATTGTACCACCGAGCGGCAGTCCAACGCCTTTTATGTGAATTCATTTTTTAAAATTGCTGTTTTTCGTTTTAAGTACATATTTATTTCGAGTCACTGGATGATTGTTAGTTTCGCTTTGTTTTTTGGTTGAGCTGRGAATATTGCTCTTGCTAAATAATTAGCCTCGTTTAATAACGAGGCTGACTTTGTTGCTGCATTTGCACTCGTGAATGCAAGTATCTATAATTAATTGTGTCTACTTTGTGTGTTCAGTGGATTTAGTGATACAAATGAATCTGTCAAAGAGTGTTTCTGGCGGTATGCAGCGCTGGCGGCAGTATCAATGATTGGGTAGAGTTTTCTGTCGCAACGACGTTGCTTCTGAAAGTTTCTCCTTACGAGTTGGGACAATTAAAAAAAGAACAAATTTTCGTGGTCACTTTCCGTTGTATATTCAACACGCTTAGTAYACAAAACGCTTCTTACAATTACATGCCACTTCTATTTATACAAAATTGGTTAGTTTAATTCTATATTAATGTTGTTGTAAGCTACTATGTAAAGCAACCACTTGCTGATCAGCGAAAGTTCGTCAGCAAAAGTCTCCCAGATTGCTTTTAAGCAGGTCACTAATTTTGATTATGACGGCCGCTTGTGAAAATAAAGTCTGCTACTTCACAATAAATGCTATGCTCGCGCATGCAGCGCCAGTTCTAAGTAATTAATATGTTTCTGCTTAAGTAAGCTTGGGATCGGAAATGAAWTGTATGAATTGCTATAGTTTGGGGTGTTAACTTGCATAATTCAGGCTTAAATCTCAGCGACCGTCCCCGACTAAGTTCCTCCAAGACTGTTACGGAACAGACATACGTACGCGTTGACTGAACATTACGTATGACAAATACTAGCTACAAGAATACTTTTAATACAATTAGCACTCAACAAAATAATAATAATAATAATTAGCTGCATACATATGTACATACTACAGYATGTATAAATATACACATGAAGCAATGAGGTAATTAATGTTCCATATTAGCTGTTCTATGAGCAATAACAATTTACTAATTAATCAATGCATACGGGAAGTCACAGTTAGCAGCGCATGCGCGTATACAAAGCGCATATACATATACACCTATGTGCGTACGTACATATATACATACAATATATATTATGTAGATATATAAAATTATTGATTATGCCGCATAGAAACATGTAAACTTCAAATGGCTCTAGCATGCATTACGCCAGAAAGTATGTAGAACGGAAACATGACAGCATGAAACACGAAATTATACTACAAAAGCGCCTGCAACAACAATATCTAATGTCGGTTGAGCGGAGGAAGCACTTAAAAGCAAATTAAATGGGTTGAAGTTTGGTTGACGATGAGCAAACAGCSGCAGAGCAATGGCAACTGGCTGGTGATCAGCTGACCACCACCGTGGTGGACCGGCCAAAGCGGCAGGTAGCGRGGTAAAGCGGGGTTGTARGATTTTCGTTAAGTSAACATTGAAACGAATCTATTGTTATGGATTTACTCGCATTTCAGTTGAAAACATTTAAAATTTGAAACGGGTCGGTGTAACCGGTTGAAGGGTATCGTGGGCAGTAATAGCAATAAAGTGCGATGAACTGCAGGAGACAAAAATCACTTTATCAAAAGACACATACACAAACACAAACACTCATGTAGTTGATTGTTTGGAAAGGTGCGACTGCTGAGGTGAATAAAACTGCTTTTGTTAAATAACGAGGCCTCACAGACCAGATTTCACGTCGCAAACACAATTCATTGCCAGAAAATTGTACGTTTCACGTATAACAATAGACTGAGACGCCCACAACTGAGTTCCGACCGCAAGCATGCAGTATGTTCAGCTTGTCAAGCGCGTTTTAAACTTACTCTCTTCCCTGACGTTGTATATCTCGCGTAGAAATTCTCTTTCAGCTTTCGAGCAACCATTATGCTAAAAACAAAAAAATGTAGATGACAAGTAGACGGCGACTTATATAAAAGTACATACATAGTACTTGCATACATACATACATATGTATATGGCTGCTTACGATATTGTATAATAGAAAGTACATTAACATATTCGAATAGATATCTATGCTGAAGAATTATTGAAACTATTTATATACATACATATACATACTCGTACATACGGGATATGATAAGCACATCTGCCACATTAGATATGACAAATACAGAATTTGGGACAGACAGATCTACAGACATAAGGACCCACARGTACCCGCATGCGTGCGAATGAAGGAGCGCCCTGCAGCGCTTCGTGAGTCGGCAAACATAAAAAGCACCAAGCCACACATCCTTTTCTTTAAGCGATTTGAAATCGGCAAATCGAAYTYTAGTTGGGGCGTATTGAAGGCGAAGGCTACTTTAGTATAGAAAATGCCTGACCTTCGATCAGCAACTTCTGCAGATTACTCATTTTAAACAACAAGATAGTCAAATTTGTTAGAACTAACGTCGCGGACATTAAGACAAGAACTCCAGGCACAGGCAATTGTAGCTAATATCGTTGCAAGTAAAGTATAGAACTAGAACTGAATAAGTGAAATACAAAAAAAATATATACATATGTATCATATATACATACATACACACATTCACAAATAGACATTCATACGAAATAAAAACGTAACGGTAATAACTTAGAACTGAATGCAAAAGTAATTACCAACTAAAATGTTAGAGTCGAGCCGAGAAGGCCTCGCTAACTACCTCTATATGCTATAATTTGTAAGTATGTACATATGTATGTGTATGWGAYGCATTTTGCCCTTCATGAAGACMGAATTGCCAAACGCATACATACATACATACACATATAAATAACTAAATAAATATGTATTCCGAAATATTATTTTTGGATGTTCCCATATAATTTGAATATGCAAATGCATTGCAAGCCGTTAAGCATAATCATATGCATTTATACACACATACACAGGCTCTTGTAGATCAGCGAATGCACACATGTATATGTGCATATGCATGTATACTTGGGTATAGTTTTTTGGCTGATTTTGAAGTAAAAAACCGAGAAGATTATGATAACATCACAAACAAATCCACTTACATAAATGTATTATGTAGAAAAGAAAATATGTATATAGACACGCATTAGTAATATCAACAATGGTACAGACTTATGCATATGTATGTAGCATACAAACACACGAAAACATACAAACACGTATAGTTTCATGAATTAAATGTGATAGTAGTTTTATATTGATTATTCATTAATTGACAAGTGAAGCGAACGTTTTCGACTCATTTATGTTATTATTGTAATTTTTAGTTTTCTATTTAAATCATTAATTATTGCATTATGTACAATAACAAATATAGGAGTATTATTATGAGTTTGATATGTAAAAATGTAAAATACCTTTGTTGCAAACCTGTAAATCACATGGGTATGTATGTAGATGTAAACACACACAACCAATGTAAAACATAAATATGTACACATAGTATATATATATGTATATGTGTATATATACAGAGAGATATGTGTATATACATATATAGTAACCTATAGTAAAGACTTAAGTTTGTTTGTAATGTAGAAAAGCAAAACGCTTTAAACAAAGCTATCGGAAAGCATGAAGGTGGGGAAGAAGAAAAATGTATGGAAAACCGAAGAAAACACATACTATAAATATAAATTATTAATTAGAATTAATAAATTTGTAGCATATTTAATGATTACAAKGATACAAGGAATTATTATTATATAWTCACTCACTCACAAAAAAATCAACAACAATTACAAGCATACATATTAACAGCAGAACAAGCTATATATACATATACAAATACAAATACAAACCAACATGAATACATATATGAATATACATACATACATAACTTAAAAATGCAGGAAATTAAATAAARCGGAAATGGCGAAATGAGCCGAGAGAAATCTACAAAATAACGGATGAAAACTAGAAAGACGCTGGAATGATATAGAAAAACAACAACAATTAAATAAAAAAATACTAAATTGATTTGATCAATACATTACAAAAACTGTCTTTGATTTCTTTGCGAAGGCTTTAGCGACTACTGAGAACACAGCACCACCTTTGTTTGGGAAGGGTGAAATTTCTTAGAAATGCCGTTGACAAGCCCATCCTTTGTCAGCAGCGCTTTTAAATACAAGCATATACAATTTAAGTTAGAAGCATTGAACGTAATTTTTTCTTTTCAACATTAAATGGAGTCTACGAGAATAGTAATAAATGTAAGGTCTCCAGAGATGTAAAAAGAATTTATGTGGTAAGCGGATCTCTAAATTTGGACCAACGTTTAACCAAACTAAGAGCGCCTTTAGCTTTAAAGTCCATGGAAGATGCTTGAAGATACGAATTGAGTTTGGGATCCATAGTTACAAGAAAACTGCATACTTGTTCCAACCTAAAGTTTTGTATTGCGACTGAAGTACGGTCTACAGCTCTACATGAAAAGCACATCGTTTTGCATTTTTTAAGGTTCAATGGCATGTTATTTCTATCTATTCTCCCCAAGAATCTACTCATTTGTCAAAACAGTCGATGTCGGACAACTTTATTATATAGCTACATATATACAAACTGAACAATCGGAACCAAGTTGTTGCATGGAAAACTTTTTCATTTGATGATCGTGAAATTTGGCACAGCTTATTATCCAAAACATMGCTGCAATCTYCGAACAATTTGTTTAAAATTATTATAGCATTATTATCCRAGACATTGATAAATCGGGTGTGATTATTGATTGACCTTAATGATGGTGCAAAAGGATATTTGAGCATTTCATTCGTTGTTGACAGATCGATGGGTGGTTTTTCGATTTTTGGCGCCATCTCGAAGGATAAACTTGCCTTGGTGATGTTGGATCATTGGAAAAAGTTCAATGCAATTGTGTTAAGGTTCAGGTACTTCTATTTTGTGTACAAGAACGTCCATTTTTGTTTTTTGTTATTATAAAAATAAATATTTTTTCAAAATATATTAGTAAAAAGTAGTGGTACATAGWGTTCTGTTCAATGGAGAAATATCAAACAATAGGGGTATTCGCTTGCTCTTGCAAAACCCTTGCACAGTGCAAGAATTTCATATATTTCCTCTTGGTGCGCCGGCACAACAACAAACCCATGCAGAAAATTATTTGCAATGGCTGTAAAATATGTCAGACCAAAACCCATGTATAGCTGCGTGCAATGTCACGCAAAAATATAATGGCAACCCTGTTTAAGCTGTCATTACACATAAAGACATATTACGTCGTTAAATTGTTGAGAAAGGTAAGTTTTAAATAGATTTTATAATTTCTACTAAAATTATAAAGATTTGTTACAGTTTTTTTTTTGTTAAAAATGTATGCCCAAAGTGCGCCAATTCACAATAGCCATGCACAATAGTCATTTACAATAAATTGATCGGATCAGCCGTTCTTATATCACTAGATCCTGCAATGGGTGCTCTCGTGCCCTTGTCTATTTCCGTATAGTATTTTTGCAATCTGCAATCTTGCAAGAGCAGGCGAATACTCCTAATATGATAATGGCAGCAATTAATTTGGAGCGTTTCAAAACGTCTCAAAATAGCTTAAAATGTTATTGTAGAATGAAAACAATGAACAAATTAAAATAAAAAACTCTCCAACGTTATCTCGTAAATTAGGTATGAAATTGTGTTGAAAATTTCAAAAGAATCGTTGCAGTAGTTTTGATGTCATAAAGGACACCGACGTTAGTCGTAAGTAAAACGCTTAAAAGTTTTGAAATCCGATGTAAAAACTTCATAAGATTTTTAACTTTGCTCCAATGGATTTGAAATTTGAACACATTATTCTTCACAACTGAACCCAAATACCAAAAGAACATTAAATAAAAAAAATTATAATAACGATATGAAGATTTCTTACTCACCATAAGTCCGCGACGACWATTCATTTGCACAATAAAAAGTATCGAATTGCGAATGTTAGGAAATACAATTTTCATTTTCAAATGAGAACTTTTGACGAGATCAATTTAAAACTGTTTGCTACACTGTCTTTCAGATAATAGAAAATATTAATACATACGCATATATACCATTTATTTAACCTAATTTGAAATAATTTAAAATTAGTTTCTTGATTGATTGCCCGATCTGACGTACTTTGCACCGTCTAACGAACTCATAATAAAAAAAGCTAGTTTTTTATGAAACCTTAGTTGTAAATTTATTTAACGTAATAAAATTTGCTTGCATCATTTTATCATTTCGCTAAAAMTCAATAATAGGCAATAAATTTGCTTGATGAGTCCATGAGCTTTGCTGCATGGAATGTACTTGAAATGATTCTCCTCAGTGCAGCACCTTATGATAGACGACATGGATGGATGGACTCAATACCGCACAAATAAATGACCATGAGACAAAGAGCATTTTCCAAACTCAGCAAACAAAAGCTCAATTCTTCTTGGTAAATATAAGACGGATTGAAAAGTGAATTTGTTCGAATAACAACATCCTAACTCCTTGGAGTATCGTAGAGCGTTTGATACGCTTCATATAAATCCATAAGCTTGCGAAACTTGTATTACTGTTTTGTGGGTAAGGAGCGATTCTGTGGGTTGCGACCTCTTAATAATAACAAATAAATGCAAATTATATGCAGAAGACAAAGACTTTATTTAAAAATGTTAATTAACATAACCCTGTTACTAAACATTTAATGTGCCAAATTCTATTTTCCAAACAACAAATAAAAAAATTTTAACTACGGCAGCACTCTTCACGGCGAATTTCTATAACATAAATGGTATACAAATATTTCCATTCGGTTTTTGATCGGTCAATTTGAATGACAGCTTTAAGCTAAAGTGGTTCGATCTGAAAAATATAATCAGAAATTGTAGCAGTGTCTTGGGAAATAATCTTTTCGAAATTTACTAATAAAAGAGTTATCCAACAAGGACTAGAGTTTGATCCTTCAATTTGAGAAGGATCTCGTTTTCATAATTCTCTTGCATTTATAATACATAGCTACGAAGTGGATATTACATTTATCTCAAAAATATAAGGTAATATTTTAATAAATGTGTATATATAACATTTTAATGAGTAGTTATTTACAGAGCCCATGCATATTAGTATCCATTATATGTGTTTTTCATTCGAAATGCTTTATCAAGATGAATTTTCTACAGAAAAATAAATWAAAATATCGTAAATTATGTTAAAAACGGCATAAATTTCAATTATCAGCACCATAACGAAAAACTTCGCCTTCATAACTAAGTAGCCGCATTTATTCATACCGATCCCAGCAACAATTGAACTGTTGTTTTGCTCATTCGCGTTGGTTTTCGTCAATAAGAAGCTTAGAAAGCATTTTGAGGGGCTAATAAAATTGTGAGAATGTTTATTTGGGTGGGGAATGCACTGACCAAGTTCACCGAGGTGCCTAAATGAATTACGTGCGATATGTTGTAGCTATTGTACATATTCAGTGTGTGCTAATATTAATAACACTGCTCGGAGCCTAGCTGAAWGCAATGAATTGTTGTTGGAGTACAAAAAGACCGTCACAGTTAAACTATGAAGGGAACCGCAATCATTATTGAAAGTGGCAAGCGACACTATGGCGTTGTGGCGTTGTGCTGCTGGGTGGGGGCACTTGTACAATTTCACCTTTTCAAATGCCCCACTTAAGTTGAATGGTTTTATGACTCGGCGTAACCGCTTCTAACCTATTCATAAAAATTATATGTAATGGGCCAGTTTGTGTTGTGGATAATTTTGTTTTTAACGATAATTGCAGAACACACCCGACTGGGTGATACACACATACATGCGCACTGTTGTTTTAGTGAAAAATATTCGTGTTTTTATTTCAACGAAGAGGTTGATTTTATAAACATCATGCACCTGTGAATAATACTTATAACTATAAATGTATTTATAAACGCTACTATTTATGCCAATGGAAAATTGAAACAAAAATTAGAGCACACGCCAACTTACGTGGGTCCTCGCGCGCTTACTATGGCAATTCTTCGTCGGCTGCCTTCTACTCGTATACTTAACTCTGCTACGAATACATCTGGAAGCCACATTATCGCATTACATCATTCCGATGTGAAAGTGGGAATTCACATTTGGAGTGAATCCTTTCTACTAAAGTTAACTGTGGAATATTAAGTTTACCACGATGGAAATCTTTGTGATTGGTCAAGATGTCTTAATGAAATTGGACGTGGATTGTTATCCAAGTCGTTGCTACAATTTCCGAACACATTGTTCGAATCGGATCACTATAGCTTATATATTATATARATGACCGGCAAACATTTCACAATTTACGTTTTACATCGATTTTCAGTCGCCTAACGTGGAATCGCACAAAGTAGTACCCAGTGGCCCGCTGTGTAACTAATTTTTACATTGATTTATGAT